TTCTTCGGGACAGTCTTTTGATAGGGTGGAATGAGGGGCTGCACGGTCACCGTATTGTGGATCCCACCACCCTGCGGGGAAAATTAACGCGGGTTGTGCACGAGGATAAATTGTTACACCTCGGGGTGCGGAAGACGTTGTTGACGTTCATAATAGAGATTTTTGGGTTAGATCGCGTAAATATATAAATGTGTCGTTAAAACCCGCCACCACCCGACACAGCCAACTAGTCAGGGTTGTCACGTAAACAGAACATGCCAATTTGTCACTAGTACAGCAAGCTACAACATTTACAATATGAGTATAACGTTTCACCAGTAATTACAACTAGCTTCATCAGGCGAAAGCCAGATTTGTGGAGATGTCTAACTGTTTCGTTTCTTATATAGAGGCGTAGATGTGGTGACCATGCTTCTGCGCTCTTGCGCAAAGTGGGGGGGGGGCAGGATTACTGAGTCAACGTACATTATGCATGTGCATTATTGGAGCCATTTGATCTTGTCATTCCTGTCTATTGCGTGTATTAAAATAGCCATACCAACGGTAATCCCTATTGAAGTGTGGTGCCCTTTATAGGCATGCATAAAAAAATACATTATTTAAATGCATGCCAAAAAACAGACTTCTCCACAAATCTGTCTGTTGCCTAATGAATCTCGTAATTACTGGCGAAACGTCGTACTCAGATTGTAAATGTTGTGGCTTGGCTCTCCAATACACCGGTGTGCTGTACTAGTGACGAATTGGCACATTCTGTTTATGTGACAACCCTTACTAGTTGGCTGTGTCGGGTGGTGGCGGGTTTTAACGACACATTTATATATTTACGCGATCTAACCCAAAAAAACTCTATTATGGATGATATTGGTCACAAAAGCCTGCGTGTTAAATGTAGCATTTCGTCAAGGGCTGTACGGACTGCGCCTGCAGAAAGCCACTACTGAGGAAGTCCCAGCCTCCGTTGCAGTCCATCTCAGTGTCCCGGATTAACGAGTTGGTCGTGCTCGACATTCTGGGACCTTTCCCAGCCACACAACGAGGGAATACATTTCTCCTGGTAGGGGTGGAATATTTCTCTCGGTGGCCGATGGCCTGGCCATTGCCCGATCGCTTCCATTGCCGATGCGTTTTTGCACGGCTACGTAATGGATAAGAGAGACCCCCAGCAGCTTCTCACGGATCAGGGTCGGCATTTCTCATCGAAGCTGATGCGCGAAGTGTGTGACATGCTAGGCACTAAGAAAATAAGAATGTCACCATACCATCCCCAAACAAATTGTATGGTGGAACGCCTGCACAGAAACCTGACATTCATGCTCTTGTCAGGCGATTAGTGGGGCTCAAACCGATTGAGATCTAAATGTTCGGGGGGTCTTGGCAGCATACAGAATGGCTCCTCACGCTTCCATGGGATTTTCAGAGTTTTTTCTCATGTATTGGAGGGACAATTAACCCCCCATGGAGGTTCAATTGGGCCTGTCAGAGGGCAGTGGAAAAACGACCTTACCCACACCCCTGCAAGTTACACTAAATGGCATGTCGGTAGCACGCGAAGCGGCCAAAGTAAACACCGCCAGAGCGCAGGCGGCTAATTAAAAGAATGCGGGGCGGCATGACCATGTGCTGCTATGGGCCATAGGGGACCGGACACGGTTGCACTGCCCATAGGTGCCGCTGGGAACGTCCCTTAAATTGCATCGGCCATGGCAGGGTCCCATGGAGGGAGTGGAGGTCAAGCAGCCGCAGTGCGTATGCATACAGGTGGGCCGTGACCGTTGGTTTGTCCATCTGTCACGGTTGAAACCATATATTCCTCCCCAAACTGACACCTCATCTCCAAGCATTATACGGCCGGTGTCTGATGTGTCCGACAAGCTGGGGAAAGCGTGCGTCAAAAGGATTGTGTTGTAGTGCCCACAGTTTCTGAGCCCCTGAATGCGAGGGACCGCCGGCTAATACCCGGCCCACATCATCTAAGGAGTTGGGGGGGGAGTCGACCCCTTCCGGGCTTTTATGTGAGCCCACATCGCCTGGAAAGAAGATGAAGTTCGCCCCCAAGGATGGACTGGCATCAAGGACCCGGCTGAAATGTGCTATGTTCCGCTAATAGGAATCTCCCTGTGTGTGTGTGTGTGTGAGGGGGGCTTGGGGTCGGGGTGCGCGCGATACGCGTTGGGAATTTTTTTACCCTTATTTTTTCCCTCCTCTCCCTATCTTGCCGAGTTGTGGAAGTTGAAATTCTTTAGTATTATTTTTAACTGCCTTTTCGGTCGTGGATTGTTCTGCCCGAAGAAAAAAAAGAATGTTGTTATCTTGGGGTTTTTAGAATCTTCTCGGTTGCGGAATTCTTCTGCCTGACTTGTATTGGTTTTATTAGTATTAGCCAGGATGGCTATCTTTTAAACATGGGGAGGGGGGGGGTGATGTAGTGACAGGGTACCATCTGTTCACCATGAAGGATAACTACGGGTATGGGTGCGCTATATAGCAGGGATCAGCCGGGAAGCTCCTGAAACCTGCATGAGAGTTCTAGAAGGGGGCGTGTCCAGAGGCGGGGCTTGGCCACGCTGAGGAGTATATAAGAGGGAGGTAACCGGAGGTTCGGGGCTGTCGTGGGGATTCGGGTCCTGGCTGCCGCCGCTGTCTTCGCCGTCATCTCTTCATCATTGTCCGGCCATATAGCCAATCCGCTGTACGGTCCCCATCATCGTCATCGCTGGATAGTCAGCCAGCTATATAGTTAGACACCAGCGATGTGGCTGTATGAGTGGATCAGCTATACGTAGCCCAGTGTATATGTTACTCAGTGACTCTGCCTGTAAAGTATGAGAAATAAACAAGGAGCCCTCTACATGTCGTGTCTTGGAAGTCGCTCACTACACATGTAAACCTACTTATCAGTAAAATAATGTAAATGGATTCATTGTAAAATGTGAGTAAGAGTACACTGCATGCAAAGTTGCCAAGTGGATCAATGGATACTTGATGCAGCCCTGCTCATTGTGATACATCTTGTTACGTTTTACAGATATTCAAAACAAATGTTGCTGTCGATCTGGAGTCCCTCATTTCAAACATAGAGGTTATGCTCTATTTTCACATGCGTGTATATCACAATCGGCTCACAAATCTCTACCTGGAAATCAATGAGGCATCTATCCAAATGTGGGGTTGTGTGAAGAATTTGGTGTGAAAGAAACTAGTATAGCCTATGCCTTGTTGTCGCCTCTGCTGTCTCGTGTGAGTTTTCCTCTTTTTGCTCCATACATTATCCCCGCTCCTGCACCGCCGCTGTTTCTAATGCTACCCGTGCAACCTGCTCCTCACGCCGTGCCTCGCCCTTGCTAGCTAACTGGGGTGCCCCGGTGGCGAGATGTTAACTACCTCGCCTGGTATACAAGAGTTCGTGGGTTCGATCCCGATCCCGATCCCGACCCTGACGCCTGTTGTATATTTGGAGTTACATGCGCTTAGAGAATTTGGCTGCTATAAATTTCCAAATAATAAGCCACTTCGTTGAGCTATCAGTTTTGGCCAGGTTGCTTCTGAAAAAGAGCTATATAGCTCAGTGGGCCTTACCTGGTAAAAAACAGTTATTGTTTTTAGTTTAACTCTACTACCAGCTCAACTCCCAAATTTTCCAACTGCCTCTCTTGTTTATCTCCCTCCCTGAGCCATTCTTTCACTCGCCTCGACCACATCCCTAATGGCCCGATTGTTCACGCTATTGCGCTATTGCATTAGTGACTCTCTTTAATGGGCTCGTCTTTCCAGTTGCCAGACCTGATAACTGCCACCCTCCCCCACCCCTGACTCCACTATGACCCCCCCCCCCCATCTCCGCCTTCCTGCTCTCACGTCGATTCCTCCAGAAGGAAGCCACAAGTAACGTGGACACTAAGCCATATGTAGGTTTTCTATATATTGTATAGATATTCAACTTCAGCATTGCAATGGACAATGGAGAAGGTGGTAGATGTGGAAATTATAAATACCCGTTTCTTGTACTCTAATGCTAGTGCCTGGCGCCTACTCCAAGCCAGCCTAGTAGCATTCTGGAAAATATCGAGTGCGAAATTAACATCTGCTTATATTGCATCCATTAAGTTAATAATATCTATCATTTTGCCCGTGAATAAACTGGGCGAAAACCACAAAATAGCAACATGACCTGAAGAAAGTGAAAATAGCAGGCATCGATGTAAATGTCATAAATAGCATTCCCCTTCCTCGGCTGCAACCTGCAACATACTGGAAGTAGTGAGGCAGAAATGAAAAGATGAATCAGAATTATGCACGAATGAATGGAACAACTCGACAGATGCATCTGGCGCATCAGCATTACAATGACAACAAAGACCTGCCTCTACAATGCGTACATCCTCCCTGTACGCTGCTGTATGGCTCAGATACGTGGTCAATTACAGGCTCTCTGCGCAGAAAATAACGCATTTGACCAGTGGTGTCCATGACAGATATTCTGCATCCACTTCAGCAAGCAGATCACCATGCCGAGGTCGGTCATTGAACAGAATTTCCGGCGGAGACTAAAATTGTCAGGGTAAGTAGACTTCGCCTCTTTGGATACGTTGCCCGGGCAGACACATTGGCCGATCACACCACAATCAACAGCCCACCGCGGTACTCGGGCCAGACACATTTTGATGTGGACGTGCGCCACTGAGGTTTATGTCAAACACCCACGGTCTTGGCACTGCTGTGTTAGTGCTCAGGACAGAGTCGCCTGGCGGCATCTTGTGGTGACCGCTATACTCTGGCCAGGGACAAGCGACTGATGATGATGGTTAATGACACGGGCTATTTATTTCCTTTTATTGGCTTTATTGGCCCTGCAGTGTTAATGGGGAACCTGGCAAGTGTATATCTTCAGTTTGTGCACCACTGCAATTGTTCTGCCCTGGTGTGATTTAGACAGACGATTGGTACAGTCTAAGGAAGTACAACGCAATTGTACACGAGAGTCGCATGGAGGAACTCACCGGGTCTATGGGCATGCTCCTCTTTATGCTCTTCTTCATGAACCCCTGGCTCTGCCTGGATGTCACGTTCACTGCGGCGTACTCCAGCAGTGAGGCGAACACGAACAGCAAGCACGTCGCCATCCAAATATCCACCGCTTTGATGTAGGAGACCTGCAGCAGCAGTGGCACAAAAGTCATGAGTGCACATGTTCTTATCGTTAAGAGATAAAACACGGATCCACCTTACAATTATTAAATAAAATTGTACTGGTTATGCATGTGTAATGAGCGACTTCCGTGGCACGTCGTGTAGAGGGTACTTCTTCTTTATTACTCATACTGGGCACAACACAGGCCAACACTTGTTCTTCTTCAGACTGAGTACAACACTAGATATGAACGTCTCTAATAGCTACACACAGCTGATCACTCGGCGTGGTCCCATCGCCCTCACTCGGCTACACCACTGGCTGGTGGCGTGACGATGACGACGATGGAAACCACGCCGGAGAACTTCCACGTGGCCGGACAACGGAGGGAGATGTTGGCAAGCAGCGACACAGCCAGGACCCAAGACCCTACACACGAGCCCTGAGCTCTGGGTCCACTCCCCCTTATATCCCCCCAGGCTAGGCCCCGCCTCCGACCACGCCCTCTTGTGGAACCTTCGAGCAGGTTCCCGGAGTATCTCGGCTAACCCCACCTTTTAACTTTGTCCCAGATACACCTTCCCTGATTGGTTGTTACTTCTGTGCCCATACCCGGGATTCCCCTTCCAAGCCAGCAGGTGCCACCCTGTCATTACACATGTATGTTGAACTTCTTTTGCACTGTATGTAGCCAACCATGCTAAGTGGAGGTGCGGGAGAAGGACAACAAACTAAACACAAATCAGTCATTAAGAAATGTGCTTTGAATATTGATTATTTAAAAGTGCTTAGCTCTAGTGACTTCCTAATATCGGAAGGAAGAGCGTTCCAGACGGCTGCAGAAGCGCATCTGAAAGCGCGTGATGCGGTGACCATCTTTGTTCGATGGCGAGCCAAAAGCCGCCGCTGCGAGGATGACGCTTGATGGTGAAAGTTAGATCCGTGGGACCGTCGCTGTTGTGGGGTTTGGTGAGGTTTGTGCTACAGTGAGGGTCTCTCCGGTGACCTTAGGCAGTGACGCTCTTGCTCCCGTGCTCTGTGTGGTCATGGTGAGGACCGTGGTGATCCCCAGCGCCACACGGGCTGGGGCTGCCTCCATGTTTATCCAGAAGGAGACCCAGGAAATTATGACGATTAGCGCACTGGGCACATAGAGCTGGATCAGGTAGAAGCCCATCTCACGATGCAAAACGAATCTTGCTGAAATGCATGAAAAGTGACCTGTCGCAAAGGAGAGAGATTAGTGAGTACAGTATGTGTTTAACGGCTGTGGCATAATATATTAAAACTACACCAATAACGAATTTACACATGACTTGAATCATCATAGAGAAATATAACTAAACACGGTTTGTATCAACGATCAGCATCAGCCTTGATTGCTGGATGAAGGCCTCCCCAAGCTGTTGCCAATCCTCATAGCCTCACAATGCATCCAAATTCTGCACACACACAGGCAAATTTCATCTGTTTCTAATTTAGAAGGGAGGGGGGAGGCAGGCAGCGGGGGGCTTTCACCGAATTTGAGACATTTACGAGTACCCGTACAGTACAGTGTAAAGTTTCACCGGTGAGAATGCAACACTCCACACGGGTGGACACAAATTGCCTGTACCGCTGCTGTACAGCTTGTCGCAGGAGTCGGTGTCGATCTTGCTGCTCAGCACAAACTGTGGCAGGACAAGGTCCTTGGAGATGATCACGGGCTCCTCTTCATCCCAGTGGAAGCTCAGGTCCGTCATGGTGTAACCAACTGTGCACAAAATGGAGAGAGAAAACATTTCTGACAGCGCAAACCCAAATTGATGTGCCGTATGTTGAACTTATTTCGTATGGTATATAGCCAACCGTGCTAATCGGGCAAGGATAACAACAAGGTTCGAAGGGTTGAACATTTTAACGTAAATGCAAAGATGACCGATCAAAAGTCACAAATGATTCTCCAAACAATCATCTCAATCCTAAAGCTTTCTTACTAAATTCTTACAAAATTACAGTGTATAACGAATCACGTGTTTCCATTTGTTAAAGGAACAACCTATTGAATAATGCCCGAATATGCAATGCGGTAATTTTTTGGTACTTTAAAGATGTGTTGATGGTAAGCTAATGTTACGTACAGCTCTCCAGGAACATGTAGCACATCTGTGTGTCCATGGGGAAGTTGCGCAGATTCATGGGACAGGAAAGTGTCAATGTCAGCCTGCACGAACAAAACATGTATCATTAAAGGGTAGCATTTATCAATGCACCAATATACAACCTAGAACAATAGATGTGTATACACAAACAAAGACAAAGATCCCCGTATAGCCTTAATAATTGCTGGGGCAAGTGCTGTTAGCGAGCATCTATGAAGGCTGGAATAATACACTATGGGGTGGGTGGCCATCACCACACCCGGCCGCCTTTGTCTCCCCAGTGACAATGTTTACACACCGTACCAGGCACTAATTTGAGACTGAGTCGACCTAGGGGAGGCCCAGGACCGGTTCAGATAACCTTCACTGGTTTTGCCTGTGAGCGGAAATTGAACTTTGGTCGTAGGGTTCTTAGAGCAGGGCACGAACCACTACACTACCGCTCCCTACACATGTGCATACCTACATGTGTGATACCCATACATAAAACACACACGTTACATAATGTGTACTGGCCTGAAATTGACCTGGCCCAGGCATGAGGGGAGTGGGGAGGCACAAGTGGGGTGTTTTAAGAAATATCTGGAAAGGAGGTATAACTAACAGAGCAGTGAGGAGACAGGGAAAAGAATAAAATGTGAAAAATGGAAAGTGGAGGTCAGGATAAGGAATACAATGAGATGGTGGAGGTTCAGGATGGGAGGCTATAGAATAGAGGTCTGAGCGTGGAATGGTGCGCTTGCCCGTGAAGCTATAGTCAGTCTCAGCCCCATCGTGATGAATTTGAAATGTTGCCGTATGGCCCTAAATTGTACGAAAGGCCTGAACGCATTGACTTCAACGCAGGTTATGTTGATAAAGTTCTGTCCAGTCGTGCCTTAGGAGAGAGAGAACTTTTGGAGGTGGCTCCTTGATTTAGTAAAGTTACGCAAGTGGACACATTACTTGAAAAAATCGTATTGAGTCTCAATTATGCTTTGTTTACATTTTAATTACAAAGGTTTATTACATATAAGTTCATTCGAACGTTGCTCAAGTTTGTAACTGCTTAGGCTGAATAGTCATGCTTGACTCTCATTTCCATATGTCCTTGCCACTCAGGTCAAAGCTGACCTTGTGCACATTATTATATTCTGAGGTTTGTAATGAATGTTGATTGGTCAGCTGTAACCAACCTCACAGTAAAAAGAACCAAGCCATTTTTGAATATCCTCAACATCTTGTTGTCAGTCGTGACCTCGTGAAAATAGGCACTCTTCTCATTGTCAAAGAAGAGGTCAGGTCTCCAGATGTACTGAATGTTGGACTGGTCGAGGTCCAAGTAGGGCTCAGGGTAGTGGCTGTAAGTCAGCCGAGGGTCGATCCACTTCTGCCGCAGGAAGATTGTCACCTGGTAGTCCTGGTGAAAAGGCATCTAATTGTCATTCATCATCAAATCGAAACTGCGATATTTTTTAAATTATTCATAATCGATGTTTTGGTTAGGCTACGTAATGATCTGTCCAAATTTGCGCCATTAAGACCCTCCACCACCCGACGCAGCAAAACAAATTAAATTGACGAATTTATGAGCGTTAATGTGCCAATTATTATTGTTTCAGTTCATAGGTAAGGTAAAGAACAATTCTCACAAATGTAGTAAATATATACAATGCTTTTTTGAGACTACGTTAATCCAGGAAGTTAGAATGACTGGATGTTGATTATGACTTCCTGGATCTTGTGCTGATGATACTTGACGTAGTCTCAAGTAAAACGTCGTATCTAATTGCAGAATTTAGTTGTAAGAATTGTTCTGTAACTTACCATTGAGCTGCAACAATTATAATGAATGTATTCATGCTTGTAGATGTGAACATTTCATTTGGTGGCAGAGGATCTTAACACAAATTTGGTCAGATCATTACGTAGCCTAATCAAAAAATCAATTATGAACCATAACATTGGCTGCAAAAAGCTACACTTTAATTTAGTTTTTTAATGTATGCCTATCGACAGTCTTACCTCCAATGATCACATTTGGCTATGTAAGGTGCGAAAGAAGTTCAACATACATACACACAAAATACATTTACAATCAGTGCATAAAAATTGCTTGATTAACTTCCAGTGGCAGTCATCACGTTCTCTTGATGAGAACTCATCCAACCACGTCGGATGAGTTGAATGCTAAATCATGCTCATACTCCGTGGGGGCATGAGGCACATGCACACCTAGACCCTAACTTCACGACTGCCTGCAATGTTTGGGGGCCCTTTAAGTGTGTTCGTTTTAACCAGGTGAGAACGCAGGAAACCAGGATGCTGTAGTCTCATTTGTAGGATAAAGTGATCTGTTGCCCAGAAACATTGACAGTGTTGTATTTATATCGCTGGCAGGTCCCGTCATTTTGAACCTACAACTGTGACCAATATCCAAACGCACACCTAACATCCGTTGCAGTGACCTGGGTAGCCTACGGAAGAAGCCGCCACTCGGCCAGGCTCACGGGACCAGGCGCCCTCGCGTGCGCGCTAGCTCCCGCTTGGGTTGCGCAGCGACACGCTCCCTGTGAGCTGCTGCCGGCGAAGGAATGCGTAGAGCCCAGGGGCCTGAGTACAGAAACAAAACTGCGTAAATTTCTACCAGGCAGTGATTTGCGTACCCTCAAAAATCGCGTAGAGCAAAATGCGGAGTATATGTATATTGAACTTCTTTCGCACGGTGCATAGCCAACTGTACGTAGCCAACCATGCTAATATATGCATGTCGCAGCCGTTTTGCAAATATGGACATGCCATCAGTGGTTGCTAGAGGTTAAGTCATCACTCCCACTACACCAGCCAATCAGTTGCCATGAAAACAATCCTGATGCAAATGGCTACTATGGTTACATCAAGCCCCTGAATGACATGACCGCCATGATGTGGCTGAGGCAAGTTGTACTTTACAGCACGTGTTATTATTTGAAGTAATGTAAATGCATTATATATGCGAGTGTGTTAGAGTGCATGCATGTCAATGTTCGAGTGTGTTTTGTGTGTGTGTATATCGTATTCTGTCGGCCGTAATAGGTACTCATTGACAATGTTAAAAGATTATATGGGGGATATTTTTCGATTTGTGACAGTGCATATCTGTGTGTAATTGTGCACGCGTGTGTATTTATGATAATATGTGTTATATTTGTGATAGCATCTGTGTGGACATAATGGCATACAAAGGTGGTCCTGACTGCCCGTGAGATCTCGTGGAAGTGTACACTACCCGCTTGCATACATCCCATAGAGGATTGAAAGTGGGACAAATCTTTGCCTGTGCATTTCATAGAATTGGGCGTACCATTCGTTACTGAGGCCCCAGGGATCAGCTGTATGCATCGCATGGGAAGATGAATGAGACACGCATGGCAAGAGGGAGAGGAGTGTGTGGCTCAAGCGGTGGGTGACTCAAAGCAGTCGAAGGGCGGAGGTCAATATTACCATTTTTGTACAATTTTTTATTTTACCAGCTAAGGCCCACTGAGCCATGTAGCTCTTTTTCATAGGCGACCTGCCACAAATGATAGCTCAACGAAGTGGCTTATCATGTGGACATTTATCGCAGCCAAATACTCTAAATGCATGTTTCGAAATGTGGGTGGATAAAATATTAGGCACGTGACTGGGAATACAGTAATCCCTCAGTTAACACATTTTCGGTTTACTTTTCGCCTGCCATAGGACCCCATGGTTTCGACTAACGTGAAATTTTGACCAACGGTATGTTCAAGTTTTGCACACGGGCGCCAAAATTCGGCCAATCCGAGCGCTCGTAAGTGGGCTGAGCCATGCCCTCAGCCAACCTGCAATGCCCATTTATGAGTATTTAGACCTCAACTGGCTTTGTTTACATTACGTTTTCTGTTTTGGCAGCGGAAACAGCGCTCTTGCATCTATATTGATTGATTCATAATTGGCTTCTCTTTTGAGTTGGATTGTATTGTTATGTTTTTTAAACTATAACCTCCGCCACCCAAAAAAGCGAAACAAATCAAGTTGTCCAGACGGCAAATGTGCCAGCTTATTGAATACAAATAAATATGCATCATAACATTGGTCATGAAAGCCTACTTATCAAATTAACTTCTACATTAACAATTGGAACTTGGCCAAATGAATGTATTTAATTAATAATGGCACTCAAATCATGTGTACATGTCAATACCATGGTAGTTTCTTCAATCGATCCAAAGCTCTTGATGTAAACGCTGCAATTGACATTTACTGTAGGTCCTGGAATAAAAAAAATTACATTACTGTTATGAGTCAACATTCCTCCACGAAACCCAGCAATGCATTTTGATGCAACTGAAATCAATATACCCAATTCAAACGATGACATATATACGTATTAATAGTTTTGTAATACGTGAAATAAATTACCTATTTCATAACTCCACATGAGAGCCGTTTTTACTTCGTGGGATGTCCTGTTTCGGTTATAATTATGCGTTGTCTTGTGTATGCCTGTTTGGTTTGTCTTGGTCTGTTTCGTTTGTTGAAACCATGAGCCTAAAGCAATCCTCTATTATGGATTTGCATATAATTTGCAAATCATAAATTATCACACGTGATTTGATGTATGTGAATCTAAACATTAATTTGTAACTATGAATCCGACGCGCCATTTGGTGTGGCGCCCTGCCCAGGCAGTTCCTGCATCCTGTAATAAAGGTCGTTGAGGCGACTTCTGGAATCCGGTCCTTTTATTCAACTTGCATTACAGCTTTCCTTCACGCTGATGACAGGCAGCGTGAGAGGGATAGATAGAGAGAGACGCACCGCCACGTGGCAACCCGGAGCCCCGCTCACGATTGGCCCCCTTCCTCCGTTCGTTCCCGTTCTGACCACGTGTTGTTCGTCTCTACCCCTATTTAATACCCGGGTCACGTGGTACGTTTCCACCAATCCTGGTTAGCCTCCATGGAATATTCCAGGCTCCCTCGTAGGCTCCCGGGACCACGCCCCTGACTCATCTCCCCATTGGCTGTGGCCAAAGCCAGCAGAACCAATCCTCTACTTACAGCTGTCACCTTTCCATTACGTCAGGGCCACGCCCCTAGGCTTCCCCCCATTGGCTATAGACCAGGACCAGCAGAGCCAATCATCATAACGAGTTGTGATACGTCAGTGAGCCAGATATATCCTCACATTACAATCCCATGGCCCCAATGTCCAGAACTACAGGTGGGTGAGCCATCGCCTCCCAGATGTAGATTCCTTTGATAAAGTATCCCAATCTTCTGGAAGAGGCCATGAGGTGTCTGCTATGTTAGGAGAGGGGGACACCATCGTTATAGTAGGAGAGGCCATACGGAGCGAGAGGAGGAGGCTGGTGTGTTCGGAAAGGGCGCTATATAAATCCTAAATAAAATAGAATACATTTATGCCTGGGAACTAACCTGGGCAGTTGTTGGGAGAAGCCAGGAGACCTGCCTGGAGAAACTGTGACAACGTTTTAGCTGTGGGTGAACCTTTAGAGACTGTTGCTGCTAACTTTGACTGCTAAAGACTGCAAATTATGTGTGCCTCGTGGTCAGAACTGGCTGTTGGGCCTCTACCCAGATTCACCTTGGTTCGTGTTCAACCACCGAGTGCTACCATGACTTCAAATACAGTGAACACCCTCCTGTGTTTATTGCAGTGCCGTAGCCCAGAGTTTGAGAGGAAAAGAAAGTGTCATAGATTAGTGATCACATCGATGGTGATACAGTGCTTCGTCTCACGTGTTTTTAGTGATACAGTGTTTAGTCTAGCATTTAGTTAGTGATAGTGTCTATCTTCACATTTACTTGATGATACGTCTAGGCTAGCGTTTGCTTCGTGATGCAGTGTTTAGTATTTATCAGCACAGTCCCAGTGACTAAAGTCACTGAGAAAATAGCTCTCAGTACAGTGTTACAGTTCCAGTGACTACAAATGCCTGGGAATAGATCTAAGTATAGTGCACCAGTGACTCAAAATTCCTGGGAATAGATGTCAGTACAGTGTAACAGTGTCAGTGACTATAAATGCCTGAGAATAGATCAAAGTTCACAGAGTTGCAGTGCCAGAAACAGGAGACACCTGAGAGCCTATCATCAGTACCACTCAGTTTTGCAACCTTGCCACCTCTGCAACTCTATTGGGTTCGTGTTCAAGCTAACATCTACACGCATAACCCTACTCTGTTCATGTCGAATTCCTTTATGAGTTATGTGAGCTTGTGACCTCTGCACCTTGCTTGTCTGAGAACTGTGCAGCCCAACTCTACCTGCGTGTTGCGGCCTGTGAGCTTGCAACCTCGGCGGCCCCGTTTCGTGAGCTTAGGTGCACGCCCCTGCTTGCTTGGCTAATGCACTTGAGTCTGGACTTTCATCGCTAGCCATTACGACTTTGCTAGTCTTGTTATATCCACAATAGATAATGCTGATTGGAATTACCGGCGAAACGTCACGGTACTCGAATTGTGAATGTTGTTGTGGGTTTACTCTCCAACACACCGGTGTGCTGAACTAATAATGAATTGGAATGTTTTGTTTACGTGGCAAACCTTACTAATTGGCTGTGTCGGGTGGTGCCGGGTTTAACGACACATATATACACGTTCTAACCCCAAAAACCTCTATTATGGATAATATTGGTCGAAAAAGCCTAAGTGTTAAACTGAATCTAGTTATAACTTGACCGAGTGCTTTCTGCTGCTGTTAACGTTGGTCTTGTTAATATAACTTGCACCATTTATTGTTCTTAAAACCCCTAAAAATCCTTGCACATATCCGTATGGAATTAATTGCAAACACCATTGACTTTTGTTCTGTTTGCCTTGAGCCTGTCCCTGGAATTGTTATTTTGATAGGTCCATGGTTCGAGACAAATGCAACTGAGATTCCATTTGTGTAACTTGTATCAGCCGTTTATTTTACATTGGACCATAACTAAATCTGGAGGTGATGTTGACAATAAATGTTGGAGGAAACTAATTAGTGACTGGACTCCATATCACGTTCATAGGCGGCTGTTTGGGTTTGTCGACACTCGTGCATCCTCTTTAGAGGAAGTTTTGAGTTTCAGCAAATTCGGAGTTTGTCCAAATTCGCCTTTTGGAGGCGATAACCCCAAAACTCAACCCTTGCACGTTGTAGACATATCAGAAATGTCTCATCGTGCAGAAGGCTCTGACAAATTTATAAGATGAAACACTGGTTAAAGTTCATCTGATGATATGTTGGATTATGCTATGTGTAAAAGCAGAAGTGGTACAAACTTTCAGTAATTACCTTCTTCCAAATTGTCAATGTGGCTCAATTTGTGCTGTTTGGTAACTGGTATTTGTAGAATAAAACTAGACGTTTTATTCAATATAAAATAGATACCTCCAAAGTTGGGCCGGATCCTGTGATCATAACCAGATGTTGGGCCCAGCAGCTTGTCCAGGAACTCGGTAGGGGTGATGGTTGGGCCACTTGTTGGATCAATAGGAAATTCCAAACTGGATAAACAAACACGCATACATTTCAGTATACTCTATATAGGGTTCGACGTGAAGATAAACAAGATAAGGTCCAGAATCCTAATATACATTTACAGTATAGTTGTCTTGTGCCATTCAGTGACATTTGAGTCAGAAGTGTTTAGCTCTGGAACATCATCCACATTTCTGGACTATTCCAAATGTCTCAAGCTTCAGTAGAAAAACACATTCAGTGATGGCTGTGGTCACTCAATGTTGTTTTTTGTCAAAACACATGTAATCTGGTATGTAGGTATATTGATTTTACTGGTAATAGAATATGGATTTTGAAGTAAATTTCCCAGCCACTATTCAAGCCCAGGAGCTTTATAACTTAACAGGAAACATCTAAGTCTGTGTTCTTCATTGCAAGGCCCACGGGCCACTGACACCATCATGCTGTCAACCCACAATGGTTTCAAATGTGTGGTGGCCCTCACACCGATGTCATATCGGTGAAAGTGGCCCCCCTCTGAACATCTGAACAGTAGTGAAGAACACTGCTGTAAGCCATTTGTGGCACATTAGGAATGGATCACTCTTTTAATTATATCCTTGTGCAGCAAGCGAGTAAAGTGTGGTTCTGTGACGGTCTTGATGTGCTGTGCAGTGCATCAATGCATGGGTGTAGAGCAGCATGTGATGACTGAGTCGGGCCTATAGGTGGCTGGCAGGGTTCATGAATAACCGCACGTGTAAACCAGCCACATGGTTAATGGCGTCTCGGAAGAATTGCTGCGTGTAACTCGCGCTGTTACATTTTACAGGTAAAGGACCCAAAGGTTGTTTTTGATCGTTATATAAATGTTCTAGACTTGTTCTAGACTTGTTCTAGACTTTAAGCTTGGCTTTGAATTGTTTGTTTGTGATATATGCAATTATAGGCGTTTTAGCACTGTGCATTGTAAAGGGATAACGCACTGTAATTAGTTACTGTCATTGTAATTCTCTAACTATAATACTGTTTAGTCTATAACCATGCCCATGTACCCAGAGTATGACTACTTGCAATGCTATTGAGACTAGAACACATGTAAAGTAGTAAGCTGTACAATGGTGAGATACAGTACGTATACTGTACACATACAGTACATATAATGGGTGTAATATACCGATATAAGTGGATGGTATAGATAGAAATACAGCTTAGGATTAAAGTAATAGTCGAATAGTGATGTGCAAATGTGATTGTCAAAGACAAGGATGGTTTATAAGTAGTAGCATTGGGTTTAAGAGAAAGGGTTAATGAATAACCGCACGTGTAAACCAGCCACATGGTTAATGGCGTCTCGGAAGAATTGCTGCGTGTAGCTCGCGCTGTTGCATTTTACAGAGTGACGGTGCGGTTCTTCACAAGATTAATATTAACTACAATAAATAAATGTGCTTGCCCTCAATTTGGAGCACCTGCCTACGTCCTTCATTTCGAGTGTGCAACACATTGCACTGTAGTGGAAAAATACTGTAATATGCGATGTGTAATGAAATTCCTATAATCGCAACAACGTGAAATGACGTGTGAGTAGTTTTACTGCTATTGAGAATAAATGTCCATTCTCCACTGCTCTCATCAGCCACTTTTTTAGCAATTTGATATCGGTCTGTCTTGAATAACTGCTCTAGGTAAACATGTTATTACGTGTTTTTTATGCTTGCGTCTCTCTGACAGAAACATTTAATTATTTAGCGAGATCGTTGTACGAGACTTTTATTTTACTTATATTTATGTTTATCTCTCGTTGGCAGCCTTTTCATTTAATTTACATGAAAATTTATTTGATTAATTCAAAATCAATGCACTCTTTCAAGCTTTAAAAAAACAATGTTTAAATTAAAAACGATATTTTGAAAGATATTTGCAGAAGGTGGAACGGTTACACTGATATTACATGAAGCAAAGAACATATATTAGAAGGGGATACCTCGATGTTGCAAAACTTATTCACAACAACATTATAAGGTCATTTCAGAAAATTGGAATGGATAGACGGGGATAAAAATAAGTGAAGATGGACTTTGGTTCAGCAATCATTGGAAGGACGTGATAAACCGTTTCGGGTCTGAACTGATTGTGTTCACGTTTACGGTGACTTTCAGACCGCAGTCCATTCGCTGGCATTGGCTATATATCTTTTGTAGTCTCCTCACGGAATGGAGTCTTTGCTCTGCTGCAAGTCTCCTTATCTACCACTCTCCCATTGACATATTTCGTTGCTTCCTCTTAGTACCTTTCAAGCGACGGTCAATGGGATGGTGTATAGCAGATGGTATAATAAATAGTATAACAGTGTAATGTATAATATAATGTATAAGGTAAAATATAGTATCGTAATTGTATAGTGAATATACAGCAGTGTGGTATACAGTAGGGTGGGTGTGATGTCACCCGCATGTGGAAGCGTTACGTGGTGTACCTGCTGACGTCACGCATCCCCCCCAACCTCTGCGTAGGCTGTGTATTAATCCAAGACAAGAATCCAAGTCTCGGGCAAAGCCGATTAGTAATGCTAATATTTTATGTGTTTTACAATCCGCATCTAGGGACAAACCTCGAGCACTTTTGGTCATCTGTAGAAACACTCACAATAATTGTGACACAGTCTATATGCTATTTATTTACATTTAGTGGTTTCGTGGCGAACTGAGACATAACACAATTAGACGTAAGATACGAGATTGGATGATTGACTGGGATTAAACCCAGGCTTTCGGCTGAAATGGCTGAGACCACTGTGAATTTCGAGTGCAAAATGTATAGTAAACACAAACAGCAAAAGAAGGGGAAGGAATCATGTTTTCCCAATTCGAGCCTATGATGCCTCCTCTAAAAATATTTGTTGGTTGTAATAATTGCTTGATAAAAGTAGGCTTATACAGGCAGACCTCGCTGAGCGCAACCCCGCAGGAAACTGATTCGTTACAGAGCTCTTTGTCCTGGATAAAAAGAATAATAAAAAAATGTAAAAAGCACTTATGAGTGAGAACACGCAGCTGCGCTGGCTGAAGCAACGTGCCCACCACCATCATTCGCTCAGAACAATGAGAGCGACGACGTACGCTCGGAGCCAACCAGACCTGACCCCTCGCAATTCGATTATCACGATTCGTAGGCATGATTACATTGCAAAACAAAAATGTGTTTATCCAGGTGAGAACTCACGAGACCAGGCACCACCTTAAATAAAGCTCGGAACAGAACATTTTAATTAGGACATCAATCACTTAGATCACGGGGGTCCTGGAGCTCTTCTCTGAGACTGACCCAGATTGGGAGTGCAGCAGGTTCCACACCACTGCCTTTTAAGAGGAGTACAGGGAGTTCTCGACTTACGAATGCCCATACTTATGAACCAGCTTCCATGAAATATATATTTATTTTGACTTAAAACGAGAACTCGAAATTTCAAACTGAGCCACGAAACTATTTTATTCAGAGGCAATGTAATGAGTCGGTCTCACGCTGAGAGTGAATGTTTGTGTTGGTGCCGGACGGTCACGCTGTGGTGAGCAGTGCCATGGGGGGAGGGCAAATTTCGATTGGCCATTCCCCTCATGGCATTTGTATCCACCACAGCAGTGAAACGGGGCTCTGGACGGGTGTGAGGGGCTGCTAACCCTTCCACCTTCAATCCAAGTACCACTAAACCATGGAACAAACATCTAATTAAGCTTGTGCCATTTGGCAGAGTCAGGAGATGTAATCTTTACCCTCGGGGTTCCTCCAGAAACAGAAAAAAGCCACTGCGAGTGGCCACGTTGAATGTTTGAATGCTCACTGCGGAGGAGAGGCTGCCACTCCTCTGTCGGGAGCTGAACCGGTACCACTTGGATCTCTGTGGCATTCAGGAGGTCCCGTGGACCGGCTCTGGCTCTTGCCACCACGAGGGGTGGACAGTCCTCTACTTGGGACAGGAGACTGCCAAACAATAGGGAGTGGCTCTTCTTCTATACAAACTAATGAAGGGGGTGTGGGAACGTGGTGGTGAGGTGTGGGAAGCTGTAAGCCCCAGGCTACTTTTGGCTCGCATGCCCATCAACCAGAGGTGAGGAGAAGTGGTCATGATTACTTCTGCCCCCACCGAAGACGAACATCCGTGGAGGGATGCAGGCAAGGCCAATGAGTCAGATGCCTTCTATGACCTTCTGTCACAGGTGCTAGCTAAAGTGGCCCCTCGGGATAGAGTCATTTTGTTGGGTGACTTTAATGCCCAAGTTGGTCATGATGCTGGCACCTGGTCTGGGGTGATTGGAAGGCATGGGCCAGATCAGCTCAATAACAATTGTAGGAGGCTGCTAGATTTTTTTGCAGCCCAAAGGCTTGTAAATTTCAACACGCTGTTTTGGCATCAGCGCATCCACACAACAGCGTGGATGCATGCCGGGTCCAATCAAGAACATCTGCTGGACTACATAGTCAGTTTAACACGTAGGCTTTCGCGACCAATATTATTCATAATCAACGTTTTTGGGTTTAGATCGCGTTATTTATAAATGTGTCGTAACCCTCCACCACCCGACACGGCCAATCAGTAAAAAAGTGTCACCTTGACAAAAGACAATTAGTTCACTGCTTTAGCCCACCGGTGTGTTGAAGCGTGAAACCACAACAATTTACAATTTGAGTACGACGTTTCGCTGGTAATTGCATCCAGCATCATCGGGCAATTCGCCAGAATGGTGAGGCTTTGCTGTGTCTCCCGTTCTTATATAGATCAGCAGCAGGATGACGTCATCATTAACTCATCAGGTGCAAAGATTTGAGGGGGGGGGCTATTGTAATTATATACTAGATTAGTAATCAGGCTATTGTTACGATGCGAGTTGTAGATTAGTAATCATTTGGAATGTTTTATTGTGATCATGCAACATTAGTAATCAGTTAGTGTTTGTTTCCCTTATAAGGAATTGTAATATATCTTATTTAATAATACGCTTCCAGGCTGCACTAAGCCTGTAGCTGTCTGAGCGATTAAAGTTAT